TTAAAGTATAAATAAAAATAATCAAAAAGTATTAAAAAAGAAAAAAAAGAGAGAAATTCTTAATTTAATAAAAGTTGAAAAGTAGGTATTAAATTATAATATTCACTAATTTACTTATTAACTTTTAATAGTTTTAGGCTTGATTTGGGAATAAATAAACTTATTCTAAATAAAGCTGATTTATTTAATTCTTTAATTGAAATCAGTAGTAATACCAATTCACAATCTGAAATAAGTGAGCAAAAGAAAAATAATGATCTTTTTGATTTTAAGATTATTAATAATAATAATAAGAATAAGCTTAGTGATAATAATTGTTTAAATAAGAAAAAGAAAAAGAAAAAAATAAATAAAGAGGAGGAAGGAAAAGAAAATAGTGAAATGGAAATGAATATCGATGATTTCAATAAAAAGGAAATAAAACGATTAAAGAAAAAAATAAAATTCAAAATCTCTAATAAATAAAAAGAATATATCAATAATAATATTTAAGAAAGACTAAATAAGATAAATTATTTTTCTATGAGTTTTTAAACTTTAATAATCTAAATTAATAATAAAATAGGTTATAATATGGATTTATAACCTTTTACATTGAAAGGATTATTGAAACAAAGTATATTATAGATTGGAAGTTATTTTACAAGCTTTAATCTTTGATATACCATCATTAAATTATAACTAGATAATTTATTAAGAAACAAGGTTAGTTATTAATAATAATTTTTGCTTTTAAACTTAACAATCTTTTTTATTTATATTTTTTATTTATGCTTTTTATTTACATTTTTTATTTGTATTTTTTATTTATATTTTTTACTTACATTTTTTACTTACATTTTTTATTTACATTTTTTTATTTATTAAACAAATGTTTTAAAATTCTTATTAATATTGTCAGAAATAGACAGCAAGTTACGCATAGAGAGTGATATGTTGAATATGTATATAAAGTCTATATATCCTGGAAGTCCGAAGAAGGAGTTTTATAGTGGTGTGCACGTGCCACACACGTGCTACACATGTGATTTCCAACAAATATATTTAAATACTCTAAGAAATTACCACATCAATTATTCAATTACTTACAAAAAGCTATTTAGCGAAATCTTTTTATATAGGCCCCAGAAAAGTTAAATTGATTAATGAATCAGCTGAGTTCTAATTGTTTTTTTCTTTCTAGTCTATATGAATAATAAATTTATTTATGAAAAAAGCATAAATATAATACAAAACAACATAGATTCTAGTAATCAAAGCAAACTATAATCTAAAGAAATAAGAATATATAAAATTTATTTTTTTTTCTAAAAAAAGATAAGGATTCTAAAAAGTACACTAAGCTTTTATACATTTTTTTAAAGTATGATATAAAAAAGCTAAATGATTATTTTTATTTATAATTTTTAAAATAAAAAGGATATATAGTAATAATAGTAATAATAGTAATAATAATAATAATAATAATAATAATAATAATGCCATTATTAATTATAATATAAATTCGAAAATTGTTTATGCAGACATTATTGCAGTAAAACGCAATTTTTAAGGACTATCAAAAAACATATTAATAAAGAGTATTATATTAATATACAAGTGAATAAAAATAGTCAAAATACTTATCTCTTTGGATTAAAAAAAGTATATAATTATTAAAAACACCTAACTAGCAAATTAATTGATCAAACTACCTTTTATAGATATAATTAAAAGGAACAGCTTTTTAGTATTTATATTATCAGCAGCAATAATCAATATTCAAGAGAGGTATCTAGTTTTAATATAAATAATAAAGAAGATAATAATATCATTTAAGAATACACAAAGGACGAAATCAGAAGAACACTGAATAAAACTTAGGTAATAAAGGACTTTTTAGATAAGGGGGAGGGGGGAGATATGAGAGGGTAGTAGATTGAGCTGGATATAGATTTAGAGTTTATAATTCAAAAGCTAAATTGTATATAATATAATTTAAATAAAGGTCTGGATAATGATAATATGGATGGTAATAACGGATCTAATAATAGCAATAAATCAAATCAAATAAACTAGAGTAATCTAAATATTTATATTTTATTTAATAATAAACTAACCTTCAATAAATACCAAAATACTAATTAATTAAATTATACTTGAAATATAAATTATATGTATTAAATAACAAAAGATAATTGAATTTATTACAAAATATAAGGATTATATTATCAATACCTTTAATTCCCTTCCAAATATTTGAAAAAAGAATATATAATTCCAAAATAAGACAAATTTATAATCTAAATAAATTAATTACTATATTAGAAGCTGTATAATCTATATTAAGAGTAAGAATATGGATGATTCCTATAGCTATAGATTGTATAAGGAATCTAAATGGTATAAAGAAATGAATAAAAAAAAAGAAAAATGTTTAAGAAAGTAATATCTCTTTTTTTTTTTAAAGGAGAGATTAAATGTATAATTTAGGTTTTTTAAAACTAAATATCTAATAACTTATAAAACCAATTTTGATAGAATCAAAAATTAAAATGGAAATAAAGAATGGGGGAATATTTTTAATGGCGATTTATATTAAAATTACTATAGGAAGAAGCTTAATTTATTTTAGAAATAAAATACCCCTATATTCTATTTTTGTAGATTAATATTAATTAGAAGTATAGTAGAAAATATAGTTCTAACACTATTATAAAATAATGCCCAGATAACTAGAATCAACAATTATTATATATACCCTATTATTCTACTCAATCTCAATCTTTCTTTAAACGAGTGAGTGAAGAAGCAAAACTTTTTATTATCTTACTTAATACCAGAATCAAGAAAAATTAATGATTTAGATTCTTTTCTGTAATTTATAATAAATAAAATACTGGTTTTAGATAAAGGCATTTATAATCTAAATAAATATAATAATTCTAAGCATTGATTATATAATTCCTTTATAAAGAAGCTGTTTATACTATACATATGAATTATTATTGTATTTGGGGATGGTTTTAGAAAAGCTAAGACTATGGGATTAAAGAAATCTAATAATACATATCACCTATATCATTATTATATAATCTATAATATTTGTAAATCTAATAGTAATTCTTATTACATCCTACACACTGCAGCTCAATTACAAAATAAAGATTTAAAACTAAAGAATAATATTCGATTTCAATTGAAAAAATAAAAAGAAATGCAAATAAATAAAATAGTAAAAGATAAATATTGGGAATTCATATACAATTCTATATTATTCAAATTTGAGTTAATTTATTTTACAAAGAATACTAAAATTGATATAATATATTATATTTTATAGAATATAGTACAGAATCTTTATCTTCTATAGGAAAACAGATAATTCAATTTGAATAACAAGAAATTCTATAAGAAAAGAATTAAAAAATTAAAAAAGAAATTGAAATAACAAAAAAACAAAACATTATTATTAATATTAAGGGGAAGAAATTTTTTGCTATATAAAATAAGGAATGCAACTATGTTATAGGTATTAGATTCAGAAGATATTGAATACAATTTAGAGGATTAAAGAGAGAATAGATTAAATAAAGAAATGTTTTTGGTACTATATATTATACCAAAAAAAGAATAGCACCGATTAAATACTATTCAAGAAAAAATAAGATATACAATTTTCTCACAACTTAAACAAAATACTAAACATATAAATAGATATTGAAAGGAATATAAAGCTGTAGAATGGGAGGAGTTCCTAATATAAAATAAAACTATTCTTTTAGTAAATCTATTAGGATTTGAATCCTATTTGAAGAATTTTACTTTACTAAAAGATATATATATTTTATATCACAAAAAATCAATATCAAAAAAAGATATAAACAATCTCAAATAAAAATCAAAGGAATTCATATAAATGTTTTAAGAGTTATATTATTAGGGCAAAGAAAATCGCATAAAAATATATAAGATCAATCAGTACTCTTTACTTTATTTGGGTATAAAAATTTAATTTCTCAAATTTTTATTTATATATAAATAGAAAAATTCTAATATGGAATAGTAATATAAATTAGAGATTTAGATTTAGAATAGGTGTTTTGGGTATAGCCAATAGAAAGATATATTAGTATTTATAAGAATATAATAATTAATATAATCGATATGGATAAGGCTCTATCAAATCAATTAATACAAATGGAATATATAAATTACTTACTAGAATTCAAGAGTTACTATGGATAGAAGAAAAGCTATTTGGAACAAGGCCTAGAGTTTCTAATAATATTTAGGGTATCTCTTGATACAAACCTAAGTTATATACAACTCAGTTTAATTAAATAGTATTTTAGAGGGGAAGATTTAAAATAATAGTTAATTAATAAGAATTCTATAAAACTCTTCAAAAAAGCGAGAATTGATATTAATATAACAATAAAAACGAAAATTGGGCAAGGTATTTTGATAAAGAATTGTAATAATTTGTATATACAATGATATTTAAAAGAAAAAACCAGAAAGCAATATAGAAAGGTATAAATTATTATATAAAACTATAATTGGGAAGAGATTGTAATAGTACAAAAGTTTTGTTTTATGTAAAAATATAGGAAATGGGATTTTTTAATAGTTAATGGATTTGTTAATAAGAGATTTGGTAGATTGAAAATTATAAAATTGAGAGAAATAAGGGATGTCATTAGGAGAATAAAAGTGATGGGGGATTGTGAAAATTATTGGAATAGGTTTATAACATTGATTTTATGGAATGGGCTTTATTTTGATTAGAAAATAGATAATACCTTATATTGTAATAATATTATTTTTATATTTATTTATAATTGAATTCGAAAACAATCAATTTTATAATTATATTTTCATTTTTTCTATCAAAATTCAATAATAAACAGATTGCAAAAAAAACCGATTTGATTTATCAATAATAAAGAGCTTTATTCATTATTAACGAATATATATATTAATATTGTAATATATGAAATAGAAATTTGTATAGGGGTTTATATTGAATTTCTCTTTGTCCGGAATATTAACTTTGCCACCACAGGGATCTTGTTATACTCAATGCTTTTGGACCAAAGTCTGATAGCTAGAATGTCCTTGTTGAGATTAAGCTTTGCCATGGAGCTGACCGTTCTATCGAACAAGTTGTTGACAGCTGTGTTTTGTGCGGCCGCGGCCAACACCTTCTTACCAGAAGAAAGAACAATTTCAATGGTGGCAACGAGACCGACTGTCTTTCCCGAGCAGGGTGGTCCTTTGATAAAGAGGAGACCACAAGGAATTTGATGACCAAAAGCTTCAATGGCAGCTCTCTGCTTGGGGGTACAGTTTGAGAGGATGACATCAAGCTTTTCAGGTGGACAGCCTTCGAACAAGTTCCAATACCACATGTCAGAGATGCTGTTACCCATTAGAATAGAGCGATTGATGGAGTAGTCAATGTTCTGATTCTTCCATGTAGCTACCGTATGTTCCTCAGGGCTGAAAACATCGTTTGCAGGATGGTCGTTCGCTAACTCGTCAGCACCAGTGATATCATCAACACCGTGACTTTGAAGGAGATCTGTGGTGGATGGGTGATCATTGGCATCGTCTCCATCACCAAATCTGGGTCTGGGCTTGAGAGAGGCATGCTTGGCTTTCGGATGCATGGCGGTAAGAGACTTTAATTTATACTTGGTAGGTTTGACAGAGTTGAGGAGTTTGAAATAGAAAGCATAGGTATATCCTTTGGGTTCGTACTTCTTGTAGATGCGATAAGAGGAAAGGCTTTCTGAATACATGTCAAATCGTAAGAGGTGGGTACCAGAGTGCTCAATTTCGTCGGGGTTAATGACAGCGGCTTTCCAGCCTTCACCATCTTTGAGTGGGTTGCCGTTCGCATCGAGACCAGGTGTGAATGGATAGGTCATGATCTCAACTTCGTCACCAACGTCGAGAATCTTGTGAGAATTGGCAGACTTTTCAGTCATGAAGAAAGAAGCATAAAAGGCATTCTTTTGATCAGGGACAAAGATGAGCTGGGTCATGAAGCCCCCGGCACGAAAGAGCTCGAGATACTTGAGCGTCCAACGAGTGTCTGAGATGAGACCGTAGGCGTTGAAAACACAGTAGTCCTCCCAAGATTCAAAATTATGCATACGCTCATATCTGTCATGGTGTGGACCAAGTTGGTCACCATCAGGGTCAAACTTGGCGTTGACCACGGGGTTCCATACAGTGCTGTGAATGTTAGTATGCTGAACCATTATCAAAAAAGATGGAAATCACTTACAAGGCAGTATTGCTCGTTGGCATCAAGAAAGAATGAAAAATATCCTCTTGGCGACCATGACCTATAGTGGCGAATATTTGCGCTGCGGTGCGACAGTATCTGATGGCTGGTGGTGCCCATCCTTCTTCCTTCTCTTGTGGCTCGGTATAACGGAATCCCAAGGTCCACTGATCAGCATTGGACATGTCTTCAAGACTGTCGAACCAGTCGGAGTTTTCACCAGGAGCAGCTTAGAAAGGGCCAGGGATACCCAATAATCCATGATTTTTGGTTGTGAATCTTTTGGAAGGTGACAAAACATTCGTTATCAGTACCTGGACGGCTGAACATCTTGAAGGTACCACAAGTAAATCTGAATTCAATCTTGTGTATGTCACAGACACCGCAGACACACGGGGTCTCTAGGCAAGCACGTGTCTTGAGTCCAGCGATTTCTCCACGAGTCAATCTGATGAGAAAACCAATGTATGAACTGCCAACATGAGGAACTCGAAGAACCAATTGGGCAGTTGGGTGACCTTCTCGAGACATGACTGGTACCTTTTGAAGCGTGTGTTGACCAATTGTCTTAGTCTCACCATTTGAATCAACATAGCTGATGCTGGAAGGTTGACGAAGTTTTGACAACATTCTTTGAGACTTGATAGGAATAGAAGAAGGCAGTGGATCAACTTGATCACCATCCCAGAACACGGTATTGTACTCCGTAACACCATCTTGTTCGACAGAGAGTGAACGAGTATTGGTCTGCCAGTTGGAATCAAGTTTGGCAAAGGCAGGATTGATTTGATGGTGTGGATCGGCATTATCGATATCCTAAAAAATATGGTCAGCAATTGACAAAAGCAGGGAGAAGGAAGATACCCATGGCATGACTTACATCGTACCCAGTCCGATCTGGATTCAAATTTGGGTCCTTCAGATCTGGAAGAGGTGAAGGAAAATGGTCGGTTCCAGAATACTAGAGAAGTTAGATCGAGAACACCGAGGAAGAAGGGCAAGTAATTACCTCTGCCATTGTGACAGTTTTCCAGGTAAAGGTGTGAGAATTGCGGTTGTGGAAATTGTTGAGGTATGCGGAAGAAGTTGGGTGTTGTGTTTTTTTTATTTAATTGAGTTCTTTCGAGGACGAAAAACCAAAGGAGGAAGAAGGAGAAGAAGAGACGGGAAGATGAGATTTATTGTGGTCGCTTCGACTAGCGCGATTTTCGTTTTTCAAAATTGATTTGTCGAGGTAAATTTAGTCTGTTGGAGAAGATTTAGGTTGCTCAGCGGTTACCAGGGTAAATATCAAAGAAATAAATAGAAGTATCAATCTCTAATACCTTCGGGGCAAAAGTGATAAGTGAATCGATTCACATAATACGGAGAAATCGAACAAGAAACGTAACAGGCTTTTCCTAAATGCTGGCTATGTAGGCTCTGTTGATGTCACAGCGGCGCTGTAACTTGCAGTAACTCTGATGTATACAAAGACTTTGAATCACAACCCAAGCAAACCCAAAGCGCGGCGGTATTGAAATTGGCATGGGTGGATACTCCAAACATTCCCAAATGGAAAGTGAAATCTGGAATCAGTATTGCCTGATCTCTTATTCTTCACCTGAATCGTTCCGAATTCAAACCATCTTCGATACTACTCATCTAAACGTCGGCTATCCAATTCCTCTTTATTATCTTGTTGTTGTAAGGAAATCAAAATCATACCATTGGCGCGCCCGAAATTGATTTTCCTGGTCTTCTCCATGGACTAATAATGGTCAGTTCGAATTAGATGCAGATGGCCCAGGTGCAGGTTGGAGATTCCCATTGCTGTATTCCCTTTATTTAATATGGTTTGATCCTCTCAAGGACTAATCATGGTTTGGTTCTCTCCAATAATTAGATGTAGATGGCTCAGGTGCAAGTTGGAGGTTCCTACCGCTACGTTCCCTCCATTTAACATGGTCTTACCGTCCAGTCTCCAGAACAAGTTCCGGCATAGTTGAGCCATGCTCCAGTCTATTCTTTCTAGCACATTCGGCGGGTTCTTGTTTCAAGTTGGAAGTATCCCCCACTGTATGCTCAAATAGCTACCATTTTGTTCAAACCCAAATAAAATAGCTGTTTACATTTCTACAGATACAGTTTCCATCATGTCCCTCATACCCAGACGTAGACAATGAAAGTTTGCATTACGTGTCTTATCGCATCAATAAACCTACATCTGGTCCTTCCAATTGCGAATTGATTTTCCCTCCGATCCCTTCTGATACCTACTTGCACGTCTAAATTTTAAAGAGCATTGGGTCAAGATTACTGATGATGAGTGTAGATGTAATGATTTTAGGTATGATTTGAAAAATGCTCACAGATGATTCCCGAACTCGGCCTCCTTCTCCTTGCCCATAATATTGAGTTGCACCTATAGCCGAAATTCCTGAACTAGTCTAAAGTCTTCATCGTACTCATCGGGGCCCGCAGCGATTGCAGATAGAACGTGTTATCTATGATCTGTGAAAGAAGCCAGAGAGGTGTATACGAGCAATGACAACGGAGAATGAAAACAAGTCAACGAGAACATTCGCGACTCAAATACCAAGTTTTTCGAATACATGTTGGGTATTGTCATTTACAAGAGCTGACCAGATTGGCCCATCTTAAGTCGATTATATTTTGAGATAACGCACCATATACTCGTGTACAGCCTACCGGAATCATATAATATGGACAAAACACCCTTTCAAAATCGTTCAAACACGTTCCTCGCTTACGCAGGGACATTTTCAGGTGAATTTAATGATATCATGAGCGTATGGTGCTCATGTAGCATCAGAGTCTTACTTGTGAAATTGAAAAACTCAATGGATTCTCTCATCATCCTTAATTTTGATTGATTAGGAAAGAGGAATACGTATGTCTGAATTCTGCTAAAAGAGTTAATCAATGTCACTGTCACTTACTGGTTTACCAGCTACATATCATGTTGGTGATGAAATCCTCAGGTACAGCATGGAAGGAAAAGTTTACATATAGACATGGCTTAAGGAATTTGCAGTGGAACAGAACGAGAAGGTGGGAAATGAAGAATTGGATATCAATTACATCACATAAGAAATTTACTTGACCTTCCAACATTACGAAACTTCCATCATTCTATCACCAAATCCCCCTTACCATTCCCGCCAAAGAATTCTCCTCTAACCATCTTTTCCCTTCGCCCAATGCCTTCGCTGCACGACAGCTCCATACTCAAGCTTGGTGTCCAGCAAATTAAATGGCATTGGATTGTGGCATTTCCTCGTCTCGTGAGTTCCAAGTATCCTGGAGATGATATGGAGTGGACGCGACGCCTCTTTTATATTGGACTCCCAGGGTTTCAATTCAGTTTCTTCAATGAGCTTTACTATGGGACGGTGAAGCCTTGCTGCATGACAGCTCTATCTTGATGAGCTTGGCTTTCAGTCAATTGAATAACATTGAACTGCGCCATTTCCTCATCTCGAAGGTTTTAATGGGCTTTGGAGGTGGTTGGGAATGGACGAGGCGCTTTCTTTATACTGGGCTCCCTGGGTTTGGGTATCAGATTCAAGACTTCTTTTACTCTCAGGTATCCACATTAATCCAGGCGGATCGTGTGTGCTGGAGGGTTGGGTAGTGATGATGGAAAGATCTTTCTTGTATGTAGTGAGGACCTTTGACAGAGGAACAGGTTGTGGAAGATGAATTTTCTACCTGCCAAGTTGTGAGCTGTGTCAACTGTACAACAAAGATTCCAATGATGAACATTCAATAGCCTTGACAAACATCTATCGTTCTGAAACTGTATCCGTATGTCCACTCTCGGATCTTGACTTGGATCAGTCTCCGTTGCCAGGTCCGGGGCTGGCCAAACCAGGAATTTAATTTCATTGTTAATTGAGAAAAATTGCTGGTGCTTTAAATAGCTGGCAACTTGGTTTGCAGCTAGCGTGGAAGCGCGCGAGGCAGAGCGGCAGGCAGTCTCGATTCATCTTGGAGAAGCAAAACGGAGAACGTTCCAGTTTGATTTTGGAAAGGCAGAGCGGAAGATGTTCATGATTGAGCTTAGAGAGGTGAATCGGTTCCCGATATACATTCCACTTCATCATGGTTAGTGGCGTCATGGCTAGCGGCGACATGCTCATTGCACACTCTGCCTCCGCGATGACCTCCATCTCCTCGTCTTTGACGTTTGGGGCTGCTTCTCTGGTCTTGCCACATCCACCTCATTTATTTCCACTATTTCTTTAATCTCCCACATGTCCTCCATGTCTTCAACCTTGACGTTTGAGAATTGTACTTTGTTCTTGCCACATCCACCCCCTCCATCTCCTCTTCCTTGATGTCAGAAATTTTGTTGAACCTTCCACGTCTTCCATCTGCCCATCCTTTTTGTTGAATAATCCTTAAAGACAAACACCATCACCGTCACCATCACCGCCTCCACTCCCACCACCCTCTCTACTTCCCTTGCCTTCACCTTCTTCATCTCCCGTCTTTTGTATTGAAGAGTTTTCGTTGAACCCCTACCACCATCATCCACAACACCCCTCTGTCTCCTTTGCCTCCTCCACTTCATCCATCTCCGCATATTTTATCTCGAAGAGTGTTCGTTGGACCATCTGCATCCGCACTACAATTCCTCCTCTACCTCCTCATTTTCCGAGTGTTCTTCATTGAATTTGGCATTATTACTCCCTTGCCACCGCTTGGACAAGTTCCTCAGACTTTTCTTCTTAACCACTATGGATGTAATATGTTGCCCGGCGCCCTTGTTTGTCGTATTTCCGATCAAAACTTGTCTCCGCAAGGCAGATTTGAATGAGAACTTTTGTACTGTGGTTGTCGATATAATCTTGGTATTCGATCACTTGTTTTTCGATGTGTCGTACTTGTTGCTGCCGTTAGTCTCTGCGCCGATGCGGGATGAATCTTTAAAGTAACATACTTCGTAATGTGAGGTTAGCGAGGAGGCGGGAAATTTGACGGAAACAGCAATACCTTGTCAGAACAGCCTTTGCGCCCAACCATTTGACTTCCTCCTTAACATGCTACTGATGTCTCAGCTGCAGTTTATAATCCGAACAACCCTTATTTATATTCGGCGCAAGATGTGTTTGTGAGCTACCTCTATACTCCTTCCAACTGTATTCTTTCAGATCAGATCCATAATCTTTCTACCAAGCTTTGCACCGTGTTCACGTGATTTCCGAAAATTGTCGAGCGGGCGGTACAGATGAAGCAGTAGCTTCTATGTCTCGTGTGTTTGTGCGGTAGAAGTTGCACATTGGCGCTTTGTGGATGGGGTGGTTGTCGACAAGCAGGTGAATGATGGTCCAATGATGAGGCGTATCATGGGCCCATTGCAGAAGCGCAGATCGAGAGATAATGACAATTTGCGCAGGACTCAGAACGATGAGTGAGTACAGGCTGTTCCATTCTGGGCGACGTGGAAAATTGATGATGCTTTTAGCTCTTCAATTATTTGTTGTCGAGGATTTGTACTATTGATTGTATAACATAGAAGTAAAAGTCGGGCCAATTGTCCACATATCAAAAGCCACCGGATTTGTTGTATCGTGCATCATTGACTAATGGCTGCGTTGTCACACCGTCTCCGATGCCATGGCGTCGATTTTCTCATTCTTCGCGGGGTATTTCCTGCCCAACATTTTCCTCCTCATGTTATTATTCTTTCACCCTCTCGCCCACCGACCTTTATTACTCACCTCTTCGCTCTCTCGTCCTCTCAACCTTTTTTTCACCTCTTCGCTTTATCTTTTCCATCCGTCACATCAGCCCTATTCGTCCCCCTTGAGAACCTCGCCGGACAATTTCGTATTCAAATTCGGAGATCCTTTATAATATCTTCGCTTTCCTCTTTCCAAGTTTTTCATCTCTATCTTTTTGTGTTTACCTTTCACTCGATTCTATGTCTGCCCATTTCCCTCTTCGAATTCATGCCAGCACACAGTCATCCTTCAAAATTCTGCAACGAGCCTTGAAAAATCAAGTCGG